TCTTCTTGCGGTTCTTAGAAACGCATCGGCGGATTAGCAAATGCCCCAGGGCCCCTTGCTGAAGGCACCAGCAGCCAGGAGTGAGGCGGCCCCCGTGGCTCTGTGCTGTGTGGCCGGCTCCGGCCCAGCCCAGGCCACAGTCTGCTCTCCTTGGACTCCCAGGTGGGAGTCTCAGAAGCTGGCCTGCAACATGAGATCCTGCGGAGGGCCCGGGAGTTGCTGGACGCGGCCAGGATCCAGCCAGGTACCGACACCAAACTTGCGTGTGGACTGTGGTGGGGGGCAGTCCTCTCTTTACTCTTCAGGTCGAGCCCTAAAGGCTGGATCTAGCCCCTGCCAGTCCTTAAGGTTCCTTCCTAAAGGAACAGGATTTACGAATGAGAAAAACAGGCACAAAAATGGGAGTTTCCTTGCAGCATTTGGGGCCCTCGGCTCCCTGTCCCGTGACCTTCCCTAAACCCACCCTACAGACACTGGGAATCACACACCCGGGGGCCTTGGAACCGAGGAAGAAACCAGCTGTATCCAGTGCCCAGCACTGTGGCTGGGGTGTCTGTGCGGATGTGTGTGACGGGTTGTGAGGGTCAGTGCAGGTCATAAAGGCACTCCGCCCGTCGGAGGCCAGGAGAGAGCAGGTACCGAGGTGGGTGCAGGGGCAGGCATGGAAACCGGCTCTCCTGTGTGCCGAGCATCATCTGCGCCAGGCAGTTTCCAGCCATATCACGTGTACCATGTTGTGTCACCTGTTTCAACCCCATCAGGTGGGTATTGTTATCCTCATTTGAGGGGTGAGGAAACAGGCAGAGAGAGGTTAACTCGCCTCTAACATCACACAGCCAGCAAACGGCTGAACCACTGAGCTCTGCTGCCCCTCAGGAAAGGCCGAGGGGCCTTGACAAGCGGAAGGAGGCCTGGGGCCTAGAACAAGAATGAAGGAGAGGTCAGGCTGCCAGGCTGGGCAAGCCCACGGGAGGGCCAGCCTCGGGCAGGATCTGTTTGGGACCGAGGCTAAAGTGGAGGTGCCAGACCAGACCGAAGGGGTGAGGCAGGAGCTCGGGCTGCCTGGCTGGGTCCCCAGCTGTCAGGGCTGATGGCAGGGCCGTGCCATTTGCAGACACCAGTTTACCGGCCAATTTTACAGCAGGGACTGACTCTACCTAGAAAAGGTCATTAAGCTTCCTGCCCTTCAGTATCAAGTCTTGTGCAAAATAGCCCCCTCAGATGTTTGTCCCCCTGCATGGCCCCATCGCACTCAGGTCAGGAAGAGTTTGGCATCAGGACTTGGGTCGCCCTAACGTCG